TAAGATATTCTATGGACAATTTTTATTCTTACAAATATTTTTTTAACCCTTAACAACTTAATAATGTGAACATTCACTTTAAATAAATTTGACAGTGTGAACACATTGACAGTATAAATGTTCACATCACGAAACATTTACAATGTTAATGTCAATATTAATACACATTTCATCCTATTATTATTAAGGATATTTTGGTAATTATGTTATCATAAGATTTATTGTAATATAAGAAAATAATTTACACTAAGTACAACATAAGTGGATGAAAAAGAATTTATAAATAGATATCTATTTTTTTATACTAAAATATTTATTTTACCTTTAATTATACATGTGTCAATACATTAGTTATGTTTATTACACGTATTACAAAGGAGATCAATATATTTATCTTAAACTTGTGGTTTGGGATGAAATTTTTGGTGACTTTTTTATTAACATTTTTTTGTCTTTAGTAAAAGAAATTTAAAATTTGAAAATGTGTTTCACACTTTTAATTTACGACTAGATAGATTAAAAAAATATAAATATAAATTATAAAAGTCCCTCGAAGAAAATATAAATTAAAAACTATATTTAAAAAACAAAAAAATTAAAATGAAATGGACTGATTGTGACTTTTGCCAAACCTAATTGAAAATTGAAATACAAGTCTAGTACTAGTCCTAGTTATGTAGGGTTATTGTAGAATTCCCTTCCACGGTACATACAATACAAAATGTATGTATTAGTGACAGGAAACTGAAAACTTCAATCATATAAATTATCAATCAGTACATGTATTTTTATATTACAAGAGTGGAACCGACTTACTAACTATATATCTACATTCTCTACAATCTATGCAACCTATACATTCATATATCACTATAACTAATTCTGTTACAATTCTGTTAGAGCTAGACTATAACTAATTCTGTTACAATTCTGGGAAAGTATCCTCTGGTTTTGAACTGAAGTTGGTTTTGGTGAAGTAGTTAAGTAGTTGGTATAATCTTATCAATTAGAAGTGATCATGAATCTGTCTAATCTGCCTAATTCGATCGAATCTATTTAATTCGATTGATTTTGAATGGATGTATGTTTTTCAGTAAACAAATACGGATGAAATATTTCAAAATTCACAGATACGATTCGGATGGCGAATTAACCATCTCGCACCCGTATGAACCCTTAACCACAACTTTGTGAGAAAGAACTTGCTCCCGGATAAAATGATAATCCACCTCGATATGCTTTGTGCGGGCATGGAAAACAGGATTAGAGGCAAGAGATATGGCAGAGAGATTGTCACACCATAAAACAGGAGTTGCAGAAGGAAGAGAGAGCTCTTGAAGAAGCATACGAAGCCATTGAAGTTCTGCAGAAGCTTGAGCAAGAGCCCTGTACTCAGCTTCAGTGGAGGACCGAGAAACAGTGGATTGTTTCTTCGCAGACCACGAAATCAAGTTAGAACCGAGAAAGACACAATACCCAGTGGTAGACTTACGATCAAGAACATCGCCGGCCCAATCAGAATCAGAAAAAGCATGCAAATTCAGAGAGCCTGGAGTAAAGAATAAACCATGATGAAGAGTACCCTGAATATAACGAAGTAACCGCTTGACAGTGTTAAAATGAGCAACAGTAGGAGCATGCATGAACTGAGCGGCATGGTTGACAGCAAAAGAGATGTCCGGTCTGGTAATAGTGAGATATTGTAAGGCGCCAACAATACTTCGATACAAGGATGGCTGAGAAAAGGGTGCCAAGGTGTCTGAAGGAGGCTCAGATTTAGAGGCCATGGGCGAAGAACATGGTTTACAATTGATCATACCAGCCTTGAGGAGAATATCAGTAGCATATTATGCTGAGAGAGAAATAAATCAGAGGCAATGCGAGTCACAGATATACCAAGAAAATAAGAAATATCACCTAATTCTTTCATGGAAAAGGCTTTGTGCATATGATGAATCAGAGAGCTGATATAAGCAGCACTATTGCCAGTAATTAAGATGTCATCCACATATATCAAAAGAAAAGTAACAGTGGTAGAAGTGCGCTGGATGAACAAAGAAGAATCACAACGACTATTGGTGAACCCAATAGAGAGAAGATAAGAAGAAAAGGTTGAAGAGGAACAAGAGACCAAGTGTCTTGGTCTTGCAAGGCTTGAAATTCTTCTTGCATGGCTTTAGACCATTCAGGAGTTAAAACTGCTTCAGAGAAACAAGTAGGTTCAATAAGAGGAGAAATAGTAGAAAGGAGAGCAGAAGAGGAAGACTTGGACCTGGTAGTCATGGGATGAATATTGAGAGAAGAATGAGAAGAAGTAGCAGAACTAGGCTGCATAAAAGGAAGATCAATAGTGAGAGAGGAAATAGGAATAGAAGTAGGGACAGCAGAAGATGGAGAGAAAGCAGAGGCGGGCAAACTAGGCAACACAGGAGCAGCAGCAGGAGGCTGTTGAGCAGCAGTAGACTGAATAGCAGCAGGCTGGCTGGGAGCAACAGGAGATTGAACTGGTGTAGGAAAAGAAGAAACAGACGGAGCATAAGACTGAACTGATGGAGCAGAGGGTGAAACAGAAGCTGCAGCAGGTGGAGAAGAGGACCAGAAAAAAGAATGTAGTTGAGGAAGGGTAGGTGGAGAGTGATGTGGAGAGGTAGAAATAGATGAAGTCAGAAAAGGGAAGAGTGATTCATCAAAAGTAACATGTCGAGACAAATAGATTTTTCCAGAAATAGGATCAAGGCAACGATAGCCCTTGATAGAGGGATGATAACCAATGAAGACACAAGGAATGGACTTAGGAGCGAGCTTATGAGAAGCATAGGGTTGAAGCCAGGGAAAGCACCTACAACCAAAGCTTTTAAGAAATGCAAAATCAGGAGAATGATGAAACAAGACCTCATACGGAGTTTGATTTTGAAGTTTAGAACTAGGCAATCTGTTAATAAGAAAAACAGAAGTAGCAAAAGCATCAAACCAATAAGCAAGAGGAAGACCTGATTGCTGTAGCAAAGCAATAGTGGTGGTGACAAGATGCCTATGTTTTCTCTCGGCAACTCCATTTTGGGAAGGAGTGTGTGGACAACACATTTGATGAATAATACCATGGGTTTTAAGAAAAGTTTCAAATTGAGAACTAGTGTACTCTCCACCACCATCAGTGCGAAATATTTTAAGCTTAGTCTCAAATTGATTTTCAGCAAACACCTTAAATTCCATGAATTTGGCAAACACCTGACTTTTATAACAAAGAGGATAAACCCAAGTAAATTTGCTAAATTCATCAATGAACAAAACATAGTATTTAAAACCAGAAATAGATGGAGAGAAGGGGCCCCAAACATCACTATGAACAAGAGAAAGGGGCTTATTTACAGTGGAATTAGACAAAACAAAAGAAAGTCTGTGACTCTTGGCCACACTACAATGAGGACACAAAGTCTTATTAGAAGATGAAGTAGTAGGCAGCTGAAACTTATTAACAAGATATTGCAGCTTTTGTGGAGATGGATGACCAAGTCTGGTATGCCATGTAGCAGTGGCCAAACAAGCAGAAGAAGAATGCTGGGATGATGAAACTTGTGAGGATGATGAACCTTGTGAAGAAGATGAAGGCCACTGATAAAGGCCATGACTATACATACCTCTGAAGAGAGGTATCTTGGTGGTCTTGTCCTGAACCACAAATGATTTATCATCAAAAGTGACAGTACAATTATTATCAGAAGTCAATTGATGAACTGAAAGAAGATTAGATGATATATGTGGTACATGAAGAACATTAGTCAATTTGAAAGGAAAAGAAGGAGTTGGAAGAATACCATTACCGGTGTTGTGAATAGGAAGTTGACTACCATTCCCAACAGTCACATGGTCTTGGCCATGATAGGGACTATGAACTTGGAGATTAGTAAGATCAGGAGTGACATGATTTGTGGCAGCAGAGTCCACATACCAATTAGGTAATGCAGAAGATGAAGATGTAAGAAAAACAGGTTTATCAGTTGGAAAAACAGGTTTATCAGTTGAAGGTTGTGGTGAATATGAAGTATCTAGTCTATGCCAGCATTCAAGAGCAGTATGATTCGGTTTGCCACAGATCTGACATACCAAAGAAGAGGAAGAGGAAGATGCTGATGGATGATGAAAGAATGAAGATCTTCCTCCTCGACCTCGACTGAAAGTATTCCTAGAAAAATATCTACCTCCTCCTTTATGAGAAGAGCCTCTGTATGATGATCTATTTCCACGACTACGAGCCTGATAAGAAGATGACTGGTTAGAAGTCTCATGTCGAGTTGCAGTATAAGCAACAGTGAGATCTGACGAAGAAGATTTATGATCGGCTTCAATATGCAAAGCTTCTGAACAGAGGAGAGAAGCAAGATCCTCCATAGTAATGGCCTCTGATCGAGCTCGAATAGCTACTTTTAAAGCATTATATTCAGATGGCAATCCATTTAGAGTAATCAAAACAAGATCCTCATCCTCAATAGGAGAGACAGCAAGTGCAAGCTGATCAGCAAGACTTTTGATCTGAGCAAGATAGTCTTCCATGGACTCAGATTTCTTCATGATACTACTGAGTTTGTTCTTGAGTTAGTGTATATGAGATCTGGAGAGTGATGTGAAGCGTTTATCAAGATATTTCCAGATTTCTTGACAGCTTTTGCAATGAAACACAGATGTGAACACCGTGGGAGTTAGAGTTGCTGTAATACAACTTAGCAAATGTGCATCGATCTATGTCCAACTCAAAAACTCAGGATTGATAACATTTTTGCCTTCTGAATCTGTGATTGTTGCAGATGGACAAGCACAAGTGCCATCCACATAACAGAGAAGATTTGTAGCTCTGAGTATATTTTGGAGATGTGTTTTCCACACAATGTAGTTTGTAGAATCCAATTTCACAGTGACAAAAGAATTGAGATTTGAAATTAGAAGCGTGAGATTAGGAGGAAGAGAAGCCATTGAAACAGATTCAAGAACTTGAACTCAAGAATTCAATGTAAGAAAGAAGATGAAGAAGGATCAATACTCGTTGGAGTAGAGATGCTCTGATACCATGACAGGAAACTGAAAACTTCAATCATACAAATTATCAATCAGTACATGTATTTTTATATTACAAGAGTGGAACCGACTTACTAACTATATATCTACATTCTCTACAATCTATACAACCTATACATTCATATATCACTATAACTAATTCTGTTACAATTCTGGGAAAGTATCCTCTGGTTTTGAACTGAAGAAAAAAATTAAAATGAAATGGACTGATTGTGACTTTTGCCAAACCTAATTGAAAATTGAAATACAAGTCTAGTACTAGTCCTAGTTATGTAGGGTTATTGTAGAATTTCCCTTCCACGGTACATACAATACAAAATGTATGTATTAGAAGTGATCATGAATCTGCCTAATTCGATCGAATCGATTTAATTCGATTGATTTTGAATGGATGTATGTTTTTCAATGAACAAATACGAATGAATTATTTCAAAATTCACAGATACGATTCGGATGGCGAATTAACCATCTCGCACCCGTATGAATCTAATTTGCCCATAGGTGAAGTTCAAAAAAAAAAAAAATGCTAACATGTAACAATATATAATATAAATAATAAAATATATATTTTTGTGAAAATAAAAACTAGTACTGTAAAAATGTGTATGCATGGTGCCATGGTTTATTATAGATAAATAATATATATTTTTTCAGAGTACTAGTTATTGGAGATGATAAAAGTTATGAATTATAATTTTAAAAAATGTCTAAAATTTGTAAAGTCTAAACTACCAAACCGATTGCATCCATCCGTCAATTTGTACGGCCCGCACAATTTGCAGCTGCCAAACCGGTGAACGAATATGGATTTATTTTTTTCAAGCTGTCTAATTTTGAACGGATAGTGGATGGGATGCTACCCGACCCAACCCGATCTGCGATCACCCCTCCAATCAAAATGTATAGCCAGAATCGCATCACGTCATTACAATTATGAGCCACACCAGATATGTTTATAATTGAATTAGTTTGATCATAATTTAATTATAAGCCACCACCACTTGTTATCATAGCTTCATTATCACACAACTTTTCCGCATAATTATCCTCACACATCTCATAACAAATACATATATCTTATAACAATTTCTAGTTTTCTCATAACCGCGGCCAATTGTCTCATAAGCAATACCACTTTAGCTTAAAACCACACAACATTAAGCATAACTACCACTACATATATCATAACTAAATAATATATTTCATAATCAACACCATAAACTCTCATAATTAAATGTACCGTAGCAAGACCCTGTCATTCAATTTCACTTTATTAATTTAGGATTTACAGCTCAGTTATTATTATAAGAATTTTGTTAATATATGTTCTTAGGGCAGATGTTAAGGAATTTGAAAGTATAATACAATGTGCACCAAAGTAAGCATAATAAAAAATGTATAATATTTTCAAAATTAAACGCCCACATTAACAAAACTTTTATTACAACATTACTCAATTCATAAAATTTTAATTATATTCCCAGTGTTTATGTCCTAAATCCTAACTCCAACCCTACTTCGAACCAAGCCACCACCACCAACTCCGATCACCCTCTCCTACCCATCCAAAGCTCTATTTACCACCCTTCAATCCCTCTTGAAGTTTGGCCACCGCCGCCAACCTCCTACATCCTTGTGTCACGTACCGACTCATTAAGGATACGAGTTCTACACCAAGCACCTTGCAAGCGCATTAACTTGTGAGCGGCAAGGCAGGCAGGGTAGATCCCTATCGCATCTCCTAGGTTGGTTCTTGGGCATAGGGCACGGGGGTACGCAATACCACTCGTGGAGCCGGCTTCTCGGGAGGATGACAAGCGCCCAATCCGTGACAAGTGGTATCAGAGCCAGCCTAGGGGCACTGTGATGGGGACGGAACGTGGGACATACACCAAGCACCTTCATTGTGGGGTCCACACCAGGGGTGGTGTCCACGCGGGGCGGGTTTCCCGTGGGTAGGGGAACGGACAAGCATGGGGACAGGCAGGGTAATGTCCCCCTGATGAGGGCGTCAGGGACTGGCGGTGGTAGCATGTCACGTACCGACTCATTAGGGATGCGAGTTCTACACCAAGCACCTTGCAAGCGCATTAGTTTGTGAGCGGCAAGGCAGGCAGGGTAGATCCCTATCGCATCTCCTAGGTTGATCCGTGGGCAAAATGCACAGGGGGGTACGCAGTACCACTCGTGGAGCCGGCTTCTCGGGAGGATGACAAGCGCCCAGTCCGTGACACTTGGCAGCTCATATAAGGTGAGTACATAAGCACTAATATGATTCAAGAATAATCATTTCAAGCTATAATATAAAACATATAATAGCTTTCTTAGGTGCTCTGGAAAGGAAAAGAAAACATTGAAAAATCTGATGATTCAATTTGGGAAATTACAAGTTAATAAGCTTATGGACAGCGTTAAAGCTACATTCATTAAGCATTTTTCGAACTCAAACCGAAGTAAAGGGATGAACATCTTAAGACCAAAAGTGAAGAGAGAAAGGCATATGATAACATTCTTCTTAGGTAAGATTTCAACACTCCGTACATGGTTCAGGTTCAGCCAAAAAAATTAAGAGGAAATTAAGCCAAAAAAATTCAAGTTAAGCCAAGTTACAATACAACCATCCATTATAGCAGCAATTTAGCTAACCTTTAAATCTCACAAAAAGCAGTTTTTGTCAATTAACACAATCTTCACACAATTAAATCTAATTTTTACCAATATTTATCAAAAAAAAATCTGAAGTTTACCAATTTTTCTCAATTAACACATTTGCAGTGTACAAATTCAAAAGCCCCAATTTCCGATTCACAAATTCAAATTCAAATCCAAACTGATATAAACTGATATACAAATTCAAATCCAATTTCTGATTTATAGTTTCAAATCCAAATTGATATAAAAGCCCCAATTTTTGATTTACAAACCCAAAATCCAAACCCTAGGCAATGTGATGTCGAGACTTACCACACAGAGAGAGAGAGAGAGAGAGATGCTTTTCTGGTAGGTGATGATAGTCCAAACCACCGATGATAGCTCCAATGATTTGACGACGACGGTGCAGTGAGGAGGGCTCCGGCAGTTTGATGAAGACGATGGAGAGAATGGTGCAGCAACAAGAGGGATGAGAGGGAGCAAAAGGACAAGAGGGATGAGAGAAGAGAGAGCCTGAGTTGCTTGGGTTTGGGGTTTGAATAGAGGAGAGAGAGAGAGAGAGAGAGAAAGAGAGAAAGGCCACGCACGTTGGTTGAAGAGAGATGATGATTCGTGGCATTCGAGCCTCTAATTGTCGAGGCAACAAGCATTATTGGAAAACAATTTAATATTTTTTTATATATTATTATTTTATTTTTTTT